CATACCCTTTCTGGGATTTGAACCTGGACTACTTGCATATTAGGTAGGTGTATTAACCTCTAAGCCAGTGGTCGCCAACCGGTGGGCTGGGGAATACTGGTGGTCTGCGAGAAAATTTTGGTGGTCCACAGAGGAATGCCCCCCAAAGCACTCCCCCAAAGCAATTAATCCAGGCTGCGCATGAAAACCTGCTAGCCCTCACCCTTTGGCCAAGCACAAACCTTGAGTAGAGCCACGCGAGCTGGAACTGGAAGGTAAGACCAATGGCGGGGGAGGGAAATCCACCCTGGGGTGGCTTGCTGATGTTGGTGGGAAAGTCGGTCCCATATTCCAGAGCTACAGTAGTCACAAGACAGGCCCTTTGGTCATCCCAAAACAACTCCTCCAGTCCAGGGCAGGCCAGTGCACCCGGGTGAAGCAGCTGCTCCGGGATGATCAAAGGGTCAGTCCTGTGACTACTGCAGCTCTGGAATATGGGACTGACTTTCCCACCAATGTCAGCAAGCCACCATTCGTCAAAATTCATATTAGTGGTCCGCAGGACTTAAAATTATGAGTTTGGTGGTCCCTGAGATCCAAAAGGTTGGCGACCCCTGCTCTAGGCTCTCCTTGCTTTGTCAGCTATACCAGGGGAAAGATTAAGTGGATTGGGGCTGAAAGGCAAAAGCAGAAGCAGTATACTCCATCCCATATTTGAGTAGACCAGGTTACCCTGATAGATCGATTTCACTGGAAAAAAGAACTGAAACAGGGTTGTTTCGATATGAGATGGTTAGCAAATAAATTTTATAAACTAACGAATTTTCAAAAGGATGCCCAAAATATAGAGGGGAAAGAAAATGAAAGAAGTGTAAATAGAAATGAATTTCACAGAATGAAAATAATCTTATCATTAAAGTTTTATTAAGATAATATGTAACATACTTTTTTTCAATATTGCTGCTGGTTGCCTGTCAACAAAGTGTGTAGCTGGTTTTGGAGTGGAAATTCTTTCCCTGTCATTTATTTCCTACAGATATAATTAAAAGAAAAATAAGATCATTTTCAAATCAGATTTTCTTACAATTCTGTAAATCTTTCTTTTTATTCTTTCTTTTATTCTATCAAAATATTCAGCCTAAGGATATAGCTTTATGATTCAACAAGCAGGTTATTCCAACACCCATAAGCAAATAAACTCTTTGGTATGCCATTTTTGAAATGTGCATTAAAGAAGAACATTCTAATAATTACACTTCAGCACACCCAGATATGTTCTCTTATTTGTTAATATGAAAACTAGTATATTTGTCAATATTTTGGACAAGGTTGTAATTGAGAGAGAAATAGGATGCTTATTTATCTTTTATTTTTTGGTGGGAGCATACTAAGTGGTAATGGTGGTAGAACTTTCTCACTCCTATTAAATTCAGGGATGGAGAAATTTGTTATGCTTATTCTCAACTTTAAGTATTCAGTGAGGCGAAAGTTGTCATCTCCTTTTTGTTCCTTTTTTGAACTTTGGTTCAAAACAAAGAAGCCTATCAGAAATACTTTGTTCAAGGAGAGCAATAATTTTATTATGCTCATTAATATTGCTCCAGAATGGGTTTTTTTTAATGCCAAACTGTACTCACAGACACAAAGTTGAGTTCTTTCATAACATCATCAATGATTCCTCGTTGTGTTAAGGCTTTTATTAGATCTTCTTCTGATAACTGTTGATGTTGAGGTGCCAATTCTTCTCTTATGGTCTCAGCAAGAACTGCTCGAATCCTGCTATGAACATCCATCTAAAAGGAAGCATCTGTTAACTATTCCTAAAATATATTCTATCCAACTTTTTAAATAGGTCATTCCAAAACAAGAGCAGGATAATTCCTAGATGAAATTAAGTTCAGATTAGCTCCTCCATCACTAGAAGGGCTTATTCCAATGTACAAGGGACATAGGCATCCATCGTCAGAAGAATATTTTGGGCCATTCACCTTTCCTTCAGCATCACCTTTCCTGCCGCTCGGCAAGATCTTTTTATCAGAACTTTTCAGCATAAGGGCAAGTGCAGAGCTCCATTGGAGCCAACTTACACCAGCTTGCAGGACCCAACTGGTAAATTTTCTGTAAGGGACTGTAAACCTACCATCCCCAACTCTAATATCCATTATTGGATATTATTGGATATAAAATCCATTATTGTGATATTCATGATCCAATCAACATCTAAACAATTATAAAGTTGTAGTAACTGTCTCTTTTAAGCTACTGACTTTAAATGCAATATTAATGTTCCTCTTACAAACTACTCAACAGCAGAAGAATACATTTTTATATCCAAGCTTCATAAATGTTGGCATTAAATCTGGATGTTATCAGTGTTTCTGTCTCTTTCTTATAACTGACTCTTTTCAAAATGTATAAGTGTGATGATCTGGGGTGTGGCACAAAGGCAATACAGTCAAATAATACGTAGGAGTCCCTTTATTTGCTCCAACTTTGCCCCTAATGTCCTGGTTACCTTGAGGGCTGGAGAAAAACTCTCCCCAGAACAGCCTTTGGCTGCAGAGATTCAAGTCCAAAACATTTTCAACAAAAACTGTAACTATAAGTCCAATCAAGGCAAGATGATGTAATTAGTTCGGCAGGGCAAGAGAAGGAATTCCAGACATGAAGGTTCGGCAGTAATTCAACCCAGTTGGGAGGATGCACAGATAACCAAAGTCAACACAAGATAAACTCATGTTTGTTCCCAACAGACGCCGCACTCAGTTTGCATCACTTTTAAACTCTCTTCCCAGGTGTGCCTAATGAAGAGAATCAGGGCCCTTTCCTCCCCTGTAAGCCACGTGACCCACGTTGCTCTCTTCTCCATTCCCCCATGCATGCCCTAGGATGGAAAGAGGGTGGGCCCGGGTCTTCCTCTGAACCCCCTCTCTATTGTTCTACCTCTTTCCTGCTCTGCCCAGCCGGACTTTGCTCTTCCCCAATTTCCTCCACAGCCAACAGAGTCACACTCCTGCTCCCTGTCATGTTTGTCTTCTTCCTCGGATTCTTACTCCGACAGAGGCATGACAATAAGTATTTCTGAAACTAAAGCCTAAATTCAGCTAGGTAAGTTAAATTTTGGATAGTTTACAATTTATAGCCCTCTATACAATTACACGTCCACTGATTATTTTATTGATTTGTAAGTGTTTAAACACATATTTTTTTACAATTGAAAAGGAGCTTTTAGCACCAGGGTTTACAATTTTATTTTCATTTTATATGTAGTGAAATTGGGCTCAAACAAGTTTTTGGCCAGCTTATCTATTCTATTAACATTCTTCCTTTTAACTATGATTACCGGTAGTCAACAACAATTTAGCCCAAAATTTCTGTTGTTAAGTGAGATGTTTGTAAGTGAGTTTTGTCCCATTTTACAATCTTTTTCATCACAGTTAAGTGAATCACTGCAGTTGTTAAGTTAGGAACACGGTTGTTAAGCGAATCTGGCTTCCCCATTGACTTTGCTTGTCAGAAGGTCACAAAGGGTGATCACATGACACTGGAACACTCCAACTGTTATAAATATGAATCAACTGCCAACCATCTGATTTTGATCACGTGACCATGAGGATATTGTAATGGTTCTAAGTGTGAAAATCAATCATAAGCCAGTTTTTTCAGTGCTGTTGTAATTTCAAATGGTCACTAAATGAAATGTTGTAAGTCAAGGACTACCTGTACTAGATCAACAACTACCGGCTGCATTCTAAATTTTCTTTTGCACGTTTAGAACTGGCATTTTTCCAGAAGTGAGGTTTTAATTTTAATTTTCACCATCCTGTATCCGTGTAGTCACAACTGTGCATTGCCTCTTAATTCAATCTTTCTAACAGGCCACTTTTTTTTCCTGTCATTTCTTTTCAAATTCATCAAAACAGATCAATGACCAAGTTTAAGCCAAAAAAAAGTGGTATTATGTAGCCTGAGAGCAATATGCAGTTAAGCTATCCTATTTATGATTTTTGGAACTATTTCTAATCATAACTGCCAGTCACAAAGTTTCCTTCCATCTTTATTTAGGAGCAGTCGCAATGTAAGCCTTAAAGCACACACAGATCATCATTAAAAAACAATGTCCACAAGCTTTCCTGCAAAAGCCAAATTCCCTGTTTTCCTACCTCTTCCACACAACAATGTGAAAGGTTCACACAACAATCAAAATTAGACTTACTTCTGGCAATAAAAACGATACTTTATAATCCACCGTAGCCAACTTGTCACAACATCCCAAGCCACAAACATCACATTTTGACTTGGCATGTGAAAGCAAGCCTGAACATCGCCTTGGTTTGATGAATCAGAATGATGCCCTGGAATAGCTAAAGAGCATTTAAAGACTTTAAATGAACAAATAAAAATAGGTTAGAATCGCCTTCCCTAGAATTCCCATCATCACTGATGAGTTCCCATCATCATTAGCTAATATATTTCTGTCTGGTGGGCTACGTGAATAAAATTCCCGAACTTAGTTTTATCGTTTTCTGTGTTCAGGAGAAACCGGACAAGAGCTGGGGGGCGGGGGGGGGGAGAACTATGACTAAATTAAGCCCGGGCAAGCTGAATACCACCAGTGAGATCAAACCAAGGCCAGAACGGGAGTGGTTAAAAGGAAAGAGCCCAGCAGCGAAATAAAGACCCTCACTTTCGTCAGCTGCTGGTGAATGATTTCTTTCAGTTCCGAGGCTTTTTCTGGCGGCAAAGCCATGTCTCCCAACTGCCGTTATAATACAAGCAGCAGAAACCGCGTCAGTTGCCGAGAGTAAAACTCTTCGCCATCTCCGGCAACGCGGCCCCAAACCCACCGCGCCTCCAGCCTTCCCGCTTGCTTGGCCCGCTCGCGCTCTGCTCTGCGAGCACCCATTGGCTCAATCGTCAGCCAATCGGGGCTTCCTGACGCTCCATCCTCAACTGAGCAGCGGTCTTTCACCTCAACCATCTTTCCAAAGGTCTGTCCAAAACAATCGCCTGAGAAAAATCGCGGCCTTTTCTGTTCCCACCCTTCTTCTTAATTCCACTCTGGCAAGCAACTCGGTCAAAGCGATGCTTAGAAGTTGTTCTTTCGGCTCCGTTAACCCGTTTTTAGGAAAGCTGTTGCTACAAAGGAGAAAGGCCGACAGGCACCGACCGAACACCTATGCCTGTCAAGGGCAGTAAGAGAACCTAGGACGTAGAAACCGGCACGCTTTTCTCCCTGGTTTGGATCGCTACGAGGTGTTTATTTCCTGGCTGCTTTTGTTGTTCGGTCTTTGCCGGGATGTTCGTTTCCTGTGATGGCTGTGCGTGCTCCGATTTCAAAGGCTTTACTCTCCTTATGGTAAAATAAGCATTCATTTTCCTGAGTTTTATAGCCAAGTATCTGTTCAATCCGCGCACAAAAACGAGAGTGGCGCGTTTTTGAACTCTGACCTCTTCAAGGGTCTGTTTGGTGAGGTTTCAGAGCAGCGCTGGGGAATTCATGGTTCTTTCTTTCTGCAAGTTTTTCTTTTTCTTTTCTATTCATTGTGATCAAAAAGACTCTATGGCTCACGACATGATCATTCCAGTTTTATAAAATAAATAAATCTTTATCATTTGAAAACAATTCTACTTGGAGTCTTTTTTTAAAAGGAGTAGAAGCATTCTTTCAAACAAGCAGAGATTTAGGACAATCATTGGGATGTTTGCAGTCCAGATCTCGTACAGCCCAGAATTTTGTAGTCCATAAGTAGTCCTTGATTTATGACCGATCCCTTCCTATACCTTATTGACTGTTTAAAGTTATGACAGATCCACAAAAAGGTACTTAAGATATGGATTTGAAGTTCTGATGGCTAGGCCCTTTCATGTGATTGCCTTTAGGATGCTCAGCTACTGGCCTGCATTTATGGCTGTTTGCAGCATCTTGCAGTCACATGACTATAATTTAGGTTTTTTTTTTGCCCCAAACCAGTGTTTAGTTCTGGTTTCACCAAAACACAAGTTGTTGGTCGTATGCATGCCTTGACTTAGGGGTCATGACAGACAATGGGAATTTCAGATTCCATTACATTTCTAAGTGGAGTCACCTGTACTGGTACCCAAGGCTTCTGGTCTTAAGGAAACCAAATGTACTAATGGATTATTCATATGGTCCAGCAATGTTCTTTTATTGGGATTTTTTTATCGATTAAGAATTATACTGTGTTAAAAACCCATTGTGTTAATAAGACCTTCTGAAATTGCCTGAAACTTTTTGATGTATATGAATTCAACAGTTCCTTGCTCAGTGGTGCTCTTAAAATCCCCTTTCCCCAAAAATCACTTTAAGGTCTGCCAGAAGGGTCCCAGATTGGAGTTCGTTGAAAATTTCCCTTGTTTTGACATTATTTCTGTATTGTAATTATGTACATTTTGGCAGATTTACATATAATCCACTTAATTAAGCACATTTTTGTCACCACCCCAATATAAAATTAAATGGAAGTACAATATAATGGACATATTCAAAAGTACTATTAAATTATTTATAAGGTAACTGAGCTTTGTTTTAATGCAGTAGGTAAGGACAAAAGTATATAATCAATATGTTTGCAATTGATTAAGACATCAAGTGAATATATAAATATAGAATGTCTTTCAATTAATTTGCAACAATACTGTAATTTAGTGTTATGGTTTTACAATACAAACTAGATGCATAGCTAATTTGATATGTCTTTCCAACAAATTACGAATAGAATTAGTATTTGAGATGATATAACTTAAATTTATCTTTTATCTAATTTCAGCCAGCTGTATCAGTGGGCAATGTGGGCCAGCTGGCTGTAGATTTAGTCATTTCTACACTTCATATGCCCAGAGTTGGTTACTTTTATACTGATTGTCTTGTGCCAATGGTTGGAAATAATCCATATGCAATAACTGAAGAGGATGCAACAGAACTATGCATAAATGCTGAAGGTAGGTAATGTAAATATAGTCTTGCATCCATTAAATTGGGAATAGATTGGGTGCTTCAGATGTGTGTGTGTGAGAGAGAGATATAATTTATTTAAATATGCTTTTGCAGAGCAGTTGGATCCCCCCCAAAAGCTGCTTACGAGTCAGTTTCGAAGTTCTGTTATTGCCCACTCCCTGTGTCATATGATTGCATTTTTTAGCATTTGGCAGCTGGTCCACATGGCCATTTCCTGCACTGTGCAGTCATATGACTGGTACTTATGACAGTTTTGCCAGAAACCAGGATTTACTTTCAGTTTCTGCAAAAAATGGGCCATTGAGAACAATGGGTTTGCTCAACACTGGGTGTTAACAATGGGTTTTCTTTACAACTGTTGCAAAAAAAGCAGAGTCAGTCTTATGATGACCCACTTCATGACTTACCACCGTAACATGACTTACCGCCGTAAGGATCAATTACGGTCATAACTTTAGGACTACCTTTTATTTTCATTACAGATGAAGCCCTAATCAGTTAGTAACCAAAATGATTGATGCCAGTGATCCTGAAGTTTAAAATCATTATGAGATTTCAGAAAGATTGAAAACTGGAAACAGATCATTATTTATAAAATGTTTTCTTTCTTTTTTTTCAGGGGTGCTCTCTTGTTCTAAATTTTTTGTGTTAGGCTTTGTCAAAATTTAACAGAGGCATGATTGCAGAGCTCCTCTTAAATTTACTGGCATCAGCTGTAATAGGATTGGGTAAAGGTAATTTAATGTTAGTGCTGATAAGTTGCTTATGCTATTTTTTTTTCAGTGTATGCAGCAACATCAAAAGAATTGGTGGTTCTGCAGATCAGATCACCATTCATAAAGGTATGTGTGCCCATGTGGGATTATTGAAGGTTGTCATGTAACGTGGCATGTATATGGCATAAGCATAAAGAAAGGCACAGAAATACAGACAATCCAAAGTCACCTGATCACCTTGGAGAGAGAGGAGATAGATAACAGAAAGCAGAATGTTGTCTTTCTTTTGTTAAGAACAGAGGTAGTATATAGGCACAATAAATGCCATTGTTTATAGTACATGATGTTACTTTTTCTAATTTTGGCAGATTAGAGTCCCATCAGTAGAGAAGAATATAGAAGTGCTGGGATAGTTAAAATAAAGTCATCCTGTAGTGTTATCGGAAGTAACATTTTACTTGTAAAGGTCACTGTATGATTTACATTGGTTTGATTATGATTCCTGTGCAACTATTCTGGGAATGTATCATTCATAACTTTACTTAGTTTGGGGCTCTTTTGTATTCATTTGGCTGGGAATCAAGCAGTCTCTGTACTTGGGCACACCAATAAAAAGACACTTTGTGCATTCTTCAATTGGACAATTTCCCCACAACAGAGACACAAATTAAAAGATGTCAAAGTTCAATCATGATTAACTTACAAATAATTTTGTCAGAGATTTTGATAGTGCAACTTTATGAAAAGCATCAATATGATTCATTCAGTGGTTTTAACTCTAATTTTTTTTGGTAAGACTGAAAAATAACTGGATCAGTCAAATCATTTTTATTTTTCATTGGCAATAATTAAGACTTTTTTTTTGCATAACTATACAAATTCCAGAATGTTAAAACTACAGATGAATTGACAAGATTCAAAAATGCAAAGTTCTAACCTATTGCCTTGCTTTGCCTCCTGGTGTAATGAAAGAATAAATATAGATTGTTTTGTCAAATATTGCTGTCATGGGTGAAAAACTCTGGATTTTCCAAAATTGTTCTCTTGTCAAGCAGTCATGCTTATCAGCGCAATGACCAACAGCTTCATTGGTAAGTCTTACAGATAATGTAATTATAAGCAGAAGGCCAATTGAGCATAATACCAAGAGACATGTACTTACCCAATAGAAGTTTCCTTCCTCATCTCTTTCTGGCAATTCTCATCCCTTCCAAATCTGCCTTGTGAGTTCCTCACATTTCCATAATGAATCTGATGGTGTAAGGAGGAAGGTAGAGAGAACTAGAACTATCCACAGTAAGGTATATTCTGCTAGATGAAAAGTATCATTTAATAACTTTCAAATTTGTGGAGTCAAGCCACAGTTGTAATCTGCAATTACTTTTCTGGGCAGATATTATCCAAATTGATGAATTACTAGGACAGTCTGGATTTTTTTCAGCTCATATCTCTATAGACTGGGTAGTATACGTGTATATTTTAATTTTTAATTATTGGTTGGAGTCTACAATGCCTAGTTTATTAACTAGGATCTTAAGATTCAGCAACAAAATAGTTCTTTGGAGTGTGTGTCATAGCTGCCTGCATCTGTTTGAAGTATCTGTGTGTTTTCATGGGATTAAATAGCTATCCTTTGCAGCTGTAGTATGATCTGAGGAAAACATGTTTAGTTTATGGAGTTGATAATTTCAGTATATGTTGGTTGTTATGCAAGCTCAGGACAGTCTCTGGGCACTAATGAAACAGATTAGCGTTATTAAGGACCATAAAATGGAAGCACTGTGAATAAATATTGTTCTTGTCCAATAATTATTACTTTGAATAAAAGAGACAATGTACAAGGCCACAATTGCATTTTTCTAGTTTTCTAGCTGAAACCATTTTTGGACAGGGTAATGTGGTCACAGTGATCCATTCATTAGCAATCTCAAGGACTTAACAGCAGTATGCTGTATGTGGTGCTCCTCTTAAGGTTGACCTGAATACTGTAGGTAGTTTAAGTGACTTTAACTAGATTGCTGAACAGGGCAAGCTATCATTAGCAGAAAACTGCCATTCTGCTATTGATCTAAGTTTGATACGTGCAGTGATGACATACCATATGTCCTGTCAAGACATATATTAGGAATGCTGAGGATATTGCATTTGTCAAGGATTTGGTGTGCTGCGAATCAGGAGGGGCATTTTCAATCAATGCAGCCTGCTTGTGAAATTTCCTATACAGACAGGGCATTTAGCCTTGTAAGCTGAACCAGTTCTGGGTTAAGATTGATGCTTTTGATTAAATAGATAGTACCTTGTCTTCAAGTTTGGTTTGGTATTGCTGTCCTATATAAAATACTTTAACTGTTTATGGATTTGAATGCATGGTTTTAGAAATATATTTAATGAATTATACTTTAACTTATATTTTAACTTTCTATAAACTGTTTTTAACAGATGCTTTTCCCATTTGGGTTTTTAAAAAGGGAACTGAAAATAGCAAATTAAAAGAAATTGTTAACCATTTATTAGAGCTATTTCCATTAGATTTTAACTGGTTCTTTTGAAAGATCAGTTTTGATTTTTGCAGCTAACTTTAAATTTTATGGTTTGTTGACAGCACTTCATTACGATACTTGATTTCACCTGCCATTGACAAAACTGTGAGAGATATTTTGGAAAGATTGAGTGGCAGTGAAATGGAGCAAATATCAGCATTTCCTGGAGTAAATGATGATAAAATATTCTATATTCCAGGAGGTGGAATTACAAAACTATTATTTACAGAGAGGTTGGTGAGACAGTAAAGTTTTAATATTGAAAAGTAACATATTCAAAATCTTTTTTTGTAATAGGAGGTAGTCAATGGATCATTGCTTGGATCAAAAAAATAATAATCGTAAAATTAACCCTGAATGATTAATCATGCATTAGAGCAGAGGTGGGCAACTATGGCCCCTTTATGACTTGTGGACTTCAACTCCCAAAATTCCTGAGCTAGCATGGCTTGCTCAGGAATTCTGGGAGTTGAAGTCCATAATTCATAAAAGGGCCATAGTTGCCCACCCCTGCATTAGAGTGTTATTTCTCAGTGATATTTTTCCCCACTCGTGTCCAATTCTTGGACACTGCCTGGAAAACTCCCTGCAGTTTTCTTGGCAAGGTTTTTCAGAAGTGGTTTGCCATTGCCTCCTTCCTAGAGCTGGGATAATGTGATAGGCCCAAGGTCACACAGCTGGCTTTGTGCCCAAGGCAGGATTAGAATACCTGGTCTCTTTCTATTGTGATGCTTTAACTAGGGTAGTATACCCAATTTGCTTTCAGTTCTTCAATAATAGTGTTCTAATTGCATACAATTGTTTTCTGAAATACAGCAAAATTCCTGACCCAATTTATGAAATGGAAGTAACACAGCAAGTGGGATTTGAATTCCCACTGGTCCCTGCTAAACTTTTAGCCATAATTAAAGTAGTTCTTTAGATTTTAGTCTGATTAAAAAGTAATTGTTTTGGTGTGTTTCTAATCTGTTAGTTTTCTTTAAAACTAACAGTTCTGCTAGTTTTCTTTAAAATGTCAGTTTTGTACACAATAGGAGTTTCTTTCTGATTTTGATAAATGCTTCTTCTAAGACTATTGTCTTATTATGAGTTATTAGATCTTTGATATCAAGCCTCTGTTATAACTTCATAAAATAGGCATTTATAAAACTAATGTTCAGTTTTTGAGTGGTTGAGTGCTTGAAAAGAAATAACTGATTTTTCTCAGCCTTCATACAAAACATGAATGATAATACTTCCCTTTCTTCTTTGCAGTAAAACAAAAGTGTAGGAAGCAATAGGATAAAATATAAGAATATATTTTTATAATTAATGTCACCAATTAAAATGGAAATGTGACTAAAATGTGAACAGAACACCAACAGATGTCTTTCAGTTCTTTAAACTTAATGAAACAGTATGTATGTGCGTGACAATATCACTGTTAGAAAGCCCAAGAAAATTAATACTTTGTTGAATTATCACAATTTTCTGAAGGATAAAGAGGCTTGCTTTGCTTTGTTAATGTCACTACTTGTATATAAAACTTACACAAGGTGTGACATGCCAGTTGGTTCTAAGAAAAGCAAAGATGGATTAATTTAACAGTCTTGTTTTCTTTTTGGGATAAAACCATTCTTTAAATATATAATGTATTGTGTTCCTCTTGTATCCACAATTTACAGCATAATTTGCACCTGAGATGAAGAGAGTTTGTTAAATTTCTCACTCCCTTCTTCATTTTATTTTTATCCCAGTTGTTCAAAAGGAATTCCACTGGTCGTTTTGCTGAAATTCTGCTCTGAAGGAGATAACATTCCTGATGCTTTTGCCCTTGCTGATTACCTTAATGAAACGTTTACACTAATTGCACCTCAGGTAAGTATGTGTTCCACTACTTTGTTTTGGGGAGTTAAGAAAGATTATTAAAAAAAGAATTACATAAAATTGATTATGGGCCCAGAATTTAATAACTAACATTTCAATGGTTCTGTGTCCATTTATTAGTTATAATATCTTTAAGAAAGCTTTATTTCAACCTGTATCTGGAAAACCAGCAGGATTATAGCAAGCTGAACTTCATATAGAAAGCTATTCTATGAGAGTATTGCAGAAGAAAAGTATTTCTTTCTAGAAATACTTTTACCTCCCTCTCCCAGTTTTACAGTAATGAGGGATTATCGTAATTTTTCTGTAGTTCCTGCAGATGGGTCAATTTTGAATGAAGGATGGAATTATGAATGCGTATAGTATAGTATTAGTATTATATAGTATACTGTAGAATAAACCAACTGTGGATTAACAGAGGGGATCTTAGTAGAAAAGCTCAAAATTACAGTTGTGTCATGATGATGTCAAATTTTGCAAGTTTTTTCAGAATAATTCAAAAATGATTTGGTGATAATAGACTAGATAGGCCTCATGTAAAGACTATAATTTGGGACAGGCAACTCTGATCCTAAGTGAAAGATCACTAAGTGGGAAATCACATGAACACAACTCTATTTTCTGCCTGTCAAGAGACAAGACAACTCCATTTCCTATCTTTGGCTTTTGCTTGCCTCCTAGCTAACCAATTACATGGCTGAGGGACACCTGAAGGTAGTTATTTTTTCAACGCTGTTTACTGTAAGTTTGAACATTCACTGATCAAATTGTCAGTAGATGAGGACTATCTGAAGTCAATACCTTTTGATCCATTAAGCCCTCTAACAGTTACCAAGTGCTGAGTTTTAAATATGTTAGGCCCAAAACCAAAAATGACACGTGGCAGTTTTTCCAAGGTGACTTCTGTATTGCTTCAGAGCTGTAGACAAAATCTTACCAGATGGAAAACACTATTTGTAATCTACAATCTACTTTGTGAGCTGTTAGGGAGGTCCTATGTTCACTTGTTTTCTCTCACACACTTTATGGGTTGAGTTGCCTCTTAGTCCCCTGGAATGCACCGTCTCCCTCCTGGGGATCCATCTCCTCACTACATTTCATCACAAATATTCAGGTTAATGGAATTATACTGCTGGAAATAATTTGCTTTTTTTTTTTTAAAGAATCAACAGAGTAGCACTTCTCAAGCAAAATCTTCACAATGGAAAATACCAAGTTCCTGGAAATTACTTTTTGGCAGTGGACTCCCATCTTCATTGTTTTAAATCATACATTGTTTTGCACATAGTCTATTTGTGTACAATCCAAGTTGTGTTTTGCATCTATAGGCCTATGTAATCTTGTATGTAATTAATGATCACTTTTCATGGATACTTTAATTTACCGGAGCAAACTTATTATAGCAAAACTGGATAAAGTTGACATAAAATATATTCTTGGCATACTTTTGGTTCAAATATCAAAATGTTCCATGCTTCTCATTATTCATATTTAATTTCTTCTTAGAGTAATAAAGGAAAACAGATGTTCAACATGTTTATCACTCTCATTTCTGTCACATTTAGATACATGTAACATTTGGACAAGAGGCATTATAGGTTATGTGGTGATCTTATATATTCAGAAAATTTTGTACAAAATGAAGATTTTAGAAAACCATGGGTATATTTGACTCAAATCAAAACTTAAGCTTTATTAAAACAGGAATTTGAGGCATATAAGTCTGTGTTATATGTGTTCGTATTACAGGTACAGGGATGGTTTCACTGTAAAATGGGAAAACGTGGTTTAGTTTTATAAGGTTGCTTTACTTTCTTTGTAGCTTTAACACTTGAAATTTGAGTACCCAAAATTGCTGCTCTTACATAAAGCAGCTGTAAGTACTTAAAAAGAGAGCAATGTTTTCAAATGAGGTATGTTAGTATTTGGCAAATGTATTTCTAAGCTGGTTAAAACAATTATGTCACTAAAGAAGAAACTGATATTGGAGTGTCCCAAATGCAAATATATCCCTTTGACTTGTACCTTGAGATAATTATTTTCTTTTAAATACAAACTGAAGAGAAAATGAACTTTTGAAAACGCTCTGGATAGATCCACTTTCCCCATTGAATCTTCTAATCTAAAATGTGTATGTCCAATGCTACCAAAACAGATTTTGTTATTTAAATATTCTCTATTTGTAATAAATTTAATCTGTTAAGTTCTCACTGAAAATAGAATGGAATAAAACACAAGGAATCATGTAGAAATATTGTAGCTTAAACCAAGAGTAGTAATAACGTAGCATTTCTCAGAGCATTGCCAATAATCTTTCTGGAACTAAATAAAAATATACACACAACAGCATATAAATTAAAAAAAATATTTAATGCTGCCAAAAATATAAAAAAAATACAAGAATGGCAGTACAAAGTATTTTGTGAATGTGATCTTACAACTCTCTACAGTTAATACAAGCATAAAACTCGTAAGACAAATTCTTTTGCAAAGTCTCTTGCTGGTGATATACTTCATTCCCTGTTTGTTTACGCTGTAAACAGATATTTATGAGGCCGCGTGTATATTGCTCAGACCTCATTTTTCATTTTTGTTTCCTGAAGAACAGTGATGTCCTGTTTTTGGATGTCAATAGTGTGTTATTATAGCTGAAGAACATTCTCAAGTCTTGGCAATTTAGGCGTCAGTCACTCTCGGCCTATAAACACACAATGTAAAAGAGTCACAAGTTCAGTACAGTCAGGAATATAATTTTAGGGTTTTATAACTGCAATGCAAATATATCAGTTGTCTAAAATCAAAATGATTTATTATTTATTAATAAATATGTATCAATGGATACTGCAGCTTGGATTATACATACATTTGTGGGTATCTTGCTTTATAACAGTGTCCTTGAACTAATAGGTATAAAATGACAGAAAATCCATATTGCTGTTGAATTGGAATAAGAAACAGTTCACCATCTGTTCCCTTTGAAATGAGCCACAAGTAAGCTTTTTAAAAAGTAGGCTTGCAGTGGAAGGGTAGCAAGTAGCTTAGCATTAGCTATCACATTTTAGAAAGAAAAGCTAAACAAAAACGTGCTAAATGTTATATAACATTGAAAGGCAAGAAGCAATACAAGGAATCAATATAAGGATTACTGTTATAGATAGAACTGAAAGAAACTGAAAATAGGAAGTTATTTCTTAAATGTTTAATAACTGCAATTAATTGACTCAATATATTCACAAGAATATATATTGATCAAGCATGTTTTCAAAAATGTATTTATATTCATGAAAATAATGCAACAACTATTTTTTGGAAACTATTAGAATTAAAGTATCCAGTTGCCTTATATTTTGTGCTTATGATTAGTATGATGTGGATTAATGAACCTGGACAAAAACAGACAATTTTATTCACTCTATAAAATGTAGCCAAATGCTTACCGGAGGGAGCTAAAACGTTAAAGCTGAACAGAAAAATGCAGGGTTATAGTGCAGTAGAAGAATTCTTGTTTCTATCTTTGTAAACCCCAGGTATGAAAGGGAAAGACTTCCAAAAGAAAGTTGCTGCCAATCACACAGTACACAATGTAAAGTAAGTCTATATTATTTATTTGGATTAGAAATAGAGCAGAATGCCTCAGCTGATTATCTTTGTGTATAGATGTACACCTAAAACAAAGCCTAGAAACTGGTTAATCTCAGAGGGAACATTTCCTTTAACTGCTTTCATGTTTCCTATATAATAGAGAAGTATGTGTATATGTATAGAACAACAGATCAATGCATGAAAATATTTTTTAACAATTCTATCATACTTTGGTTTCAGCATCCACAACTTTTACAAATGGCAGCATGATTCATACTACAGCATAAAAAGAGTTGAGGCCAGGTGTGATTGAGCGCTTTTCAGTTGAAATACATTTTTTATTATCTTTCAAATTATAAATTGTAGGCAGTTTTGTTTTCTAGTATTTCTCTTATGTAATAAAAGGGCATGAGGAACTTTGCATTAAACATTTCAGTGTTTTTCAAAACATGGGATGCTATTTTTTTCAAGAGCAGAATTTATAAGAAACTTAAGAGCATATATACCAACACTAGACTCTGTACATTGTATTGTTTAGCCATAAATAAATTATTGTTGATTAAACCTAGAAGGTATTCTCACTGGCAACATGGTGTTTTCTTCTTTGGGGAAAATTCTCCAGCAACTCTGAAGAGCTTGCAGGATACAAGAACGAAAGAACATCCAGTTGCCCAAATATATCAGCTACCTAACACATGCCGTGGCCCAGAAGTCTGCATTTTCATAGGGATCATGTTGATCATCCACTTTACAAAGTGATCTTTTGGAACATTTAAAGATGGTTAAAACTGTATTTTTATCAGGTCAGTTTTGTTTTAAGTAAGAGAATCTGAATGGGGTTCATAAGATACTGATATAAATCTGGGTGTTATAAATGATGGATACCTGATGCTATGGTAATATTGTGTAGGATATATGTGAGTTGTTTGCCAGAAACACAAATGGTTACTCTTACTCAAATGTAATGATGAAATGGAGAAGATTCTTCCTAATATAGTTTGTACTATAGCTCAGTGCCAACAGCTTCAGAAATCTTCATTTGCACCCTCCCTTCCCTGTTAAATCTGCATTATGGCTATTTGCTTCCATTTGTAATGCTTCTGATGTGCCCTATAATTTTATTTTCTGAAATTACTATCGAATTGGTATTCCAATTATAATAGACAAAGAAGATATAGAAGAATAGGACTCAAACCCAGTAAGACCCACAAAAATGTTTCACATTTAATGGAATGTGTAAGCTTTAAATACAAGCTATGGCTTCCAACAGTAGCTGCAGTTTTAACAAAACATTTCCAAAGAGGCAGCTTGAGACACAAGATCTAATCTACCAGTAGCCTTATAAAATTAAATATTTTCAAATAAAATAATAGCTAAGCGTAAATACATATATGCATCTTACAAGTAAAAACTGAGGAATAATTATTTGCTAACATTTAATTTCTGAAACAACAATTTATTAATCATTGCATTGGGAATGGTCCAGAAAGTGAATTTCCAAGTCAATCTTGAAAAGTTGGTGATAGATGCACCAATCGTTCATACAAATGTAGATTTTAAAAATACAATTATTTACAAAATGATTATATAGTTATCAAATTTGCTTTACGTCTGCATAGTATAAATGGTTGATGGTACATTAATAAAGAAATGTAACTTTTTGCATTCAGAATAACACCACAGTTTATTGCTTCTATCATGGATGTAAGTCATCCTTCTGGTAACTTGGCCATTCAGCCTATTATCTATTGAACTACCAATTTAGATACCATATATACAGCGGCTGAAAATGCGCATTAATTTATCTAACAATGCATAATTTGAATCCAAGTGGCAATTTGGTTTCAGAAGTACCAATACTGAAAAATCCTGAGACCAATTTATAATCACATTAATCACCAATGACAAGACTTCAATGCTGCAAGTTAAATTGTCACTGGCCAAGTAAAAATACATTTGTTTTGGCAGCAACCTTGAATCCATTTATTATATTCACTTTAAATCCCACTAAATCATGGGATATAAGATTTATTGTAGATGCAACATTGCTCACTTACTTACATGAGCATGTATTGGGAATACAATTTCCAGGAAGAATAAACTATAACAAATATGACTGAACCAAATCCAATCTTAGTAACAACAGGCTTCCAATATAACCACCTTTTTCTTTTTCTTTCAGATTCACTCAGCCTATGTTTCATCTGTTGCACCATCTGTGCTGTGTTAGCTTTTTTGTCTTCTCTCAGCCTTTTTCGTAAAGCCCTTAAAAAAAATAAAAACTTTATAATCACTTTCAATTATTCCATGCATTCCTTAATTACCAAGATGTATTGACAACACTTGAAAGGCAATAGTGAAATAGCGAAGCATTTTAATACTCTATTTTAAAAGATTAAATTGAAGGATGCCATTATGGGTATAAATGATGATAACTACTGAGATACCTTCAGCTTAACAACCTTCATCCCTGCTCTCCCTGGTGCCACTGTTAAATATGCAGGTCGTTAAGTGAGCATGGAATACCTCCTGGGTGGGGGAAGCCCTGGAAGATCCAGCAGGGTCCAAGGAAGCAGATAAGCATCAAAAAAACCTTTGCAAGCTCCATAATAGTTGTAGGTCAAGAACAAATTGTAATTAATGTTAATCCATCAATTATGAAACCACTAGTCCTTACCTCCTAAGTATGTTTTTTGATATGACTTCTCTAGTATTTAATAAGATGCTTAAACATCAAACAAAAACAAATGAAAATTAAAGGCAATTTTCTTCTGCTAACAGAACTTGTCAGTGGATGTTATTATTCTCTCCATCCTTTTCCATATCCTGGAAGTACAGTCAGATGTCTGAAGATAAATTATCCATAGCAGAAAGTGTATTGGAAGGGAACAGGTTCTTTGTTTCCTTCTGTGGCAAATTGATTCTCATACAAAGGGTATTTTCATACTGCTTTTCAGTGCTCAGTACTACTGATAAAAATAATAAAATGTAATTGTTTCAAAATAGTTGGGACTATAAAGTACAGAATTATTAGCTGTCAGGCATCCCAGGAACCTGGGAAGAAAAAAAATACTACCATGCTCTGATTCAGCTAAAAAAGTATACAGAATTCCAGGACGAATTATTTTATCAATTTAAAGACTACTTTCTATAAAACTGACAAACCCTTGTCATTCGATATATTAAATTGTTTTTTGTCCACCAGTCAGTTTTAATGTTATTATAAAACCATTACTTACTTGTCATCATTTGTATCTGAATCATTTTGTACAGGAGAGATCGGATCAACATCTCCTGGTTCCTGTTCTTCAAAAACCATGCTATTTCCATTGTATTTTTCTGGAGTAAGTTTAGTTGGGTGAGGAGGCGAACATTCAGAACTTGGTGCTTGGTCTTCTTTTGAGAGTTCCTTCCAGCGATACTGAATGGGAAAAAAAAATGTCTTCGCTAGTTGAATCTTAAAAGAACAAAATACACGTAGTCCTTGCTAAATTAGTCCAACTGGGACCAGATTTCTGTTACTAAGCAAAGTGGTTGTTAGGGGAAACATTACATGACTGCAGCACTTAGTGGTGAAAGTTCTGGTAGTTTTGGTGCCGTCATTAGCAGCAGCAGAAAGACGGTCAAGTTAGGGTGGTGGAATAGAGGCCAGCCAAATGGGCAGAAATGGGAGGGATAGGCATGGGAGTCAAAGCACACACTGCAATTCTGATAGTGGCTGAGCTACCAAGCCTCAGAATTTTGATTACATCACTGCAAGGATGTTGCACTGGCTGTAACTTTGAGGACTGTCAGTAACTACCATGAGTTCAGTGCAATTATAACTTTGAATAGTAACTGAACAAATGTTCAATAAGGGAGGACTACCTGTTTGGTGAAATTCACTATGACCCATCCGGCATGACTTAAAAAGCAGACAATGTATTTACCTGCATAGTGGAATCCCCCATTATATATTTTGCTCCTTCTATTACAGCCATATATGAAAATCTTAGTTGATCAGGAGTCTGAATCAGTCCCATCCGAT